GGAAGTGTAGTGGTTGTAGTTATATCATGTATTGTCCTTCTCCAAAGATCTCTGTCTCTGTTCATTTCTTTTAACTAATGCATACATCTTTTGTATATTTCTGTAATTTAGTTAATCCATCTTGTTGGGGATCTTCGGATCTTCCTGGTGATCTTCAGCCTTCTACTTTTCCTTGGATAATAATAATATTTATTTCAAAATTGTGTTATAACTACAGCATACAAAGAGTAATTACTAACACAGAATGAAATGATCTCTAATATCTACAAAATAAATACTTGTGTATACGTATAGTTGGATATTGAATCCCTACATTTTTCTATTATTTGTCTTATATTCAACAGCTGTTCTCAAGTAGTTCTACTATTGGTAAATCCAGTTTGCTCTTGTGCTGTTTCTCTTTACAGGAAAGTTATTCAGTGTCTCAATGATTATGTGTAGCAGTATCTTGCTGACATGTGATATAACGGAAATAGTTTTATAATTATTGCATTTTGTTGCATGTATTATTAATATTTTAGATTTTGTCCAGTCATCAGAAATTGACATTGTTTGGTATGTTTACAGAGCACATGAAGCAATTTTACTGTACTAGAAAGGTTTATTCTGCGGCTTTGAGCATTTCTACTGTTTGTCATCATATCTAGACCTGGTGCTTTGTTATACTTGAGTTTACTCTACTCTGACTTTTACTCTAGTTTATATCTAGTCTTACTTCATTTTCCAGTATATTAGGTTTTTCTTCTGTTTTGTCAGGGGTTTGGTGTACAAGTTATAATTTAAGTTAGGTGAAGTGTTCCTTTAAGTATATGCACCAATAAAATTGTTCTGAGCCTCAACAAACTTATACTTTATTCCTTCTCAACTACAGAACATTATAAAACTTTACATGAACTTGACTGACAATCTATTTTATATTTTTTCTTGGCATTACTACCGAATTTTCTATACTGTCAATACATAATGAACCACCATAGGACAACATCCACTTTTAATGTTGTATATTCTAACACAAATTCCTGCCTTTAATTATCTTTATATAGCTTCCTGCTGTATTTTCTTTGTTTGTTCTCAGTGTTCCTGTGAGATCTTTAATGAATATGCTTTTCAATCCTCTACCTATTTCATGTAATATTTAAAATATAATTGGGATGTACCTGTAAATTTTGTAAAATAAAATAAATTATGTTTGTTTTCACATTTGTGCATTTATTTCATAAAATTTATACATAAAATAATATTTTTAACTTTGGAAAAAAGTGCTTTTATACACATATATCTAAAAGCTACAAGCTACAGAAAAACCCTGATCATATATTATTTTGATATCTTATTAGTTGGAAATTATATTTATTCAAATCATGAGAACTGTCATCATTTCTGTATGCATAAAATACAGCAATAGCTGCCAAATATACAAACTGAAATGGTGCAACAAGTATACAAGAAGCATTAAATTCAATGGAAAACTGGTTAATACAGTTCAATATAGCTGTCAACCCTAACAAACCTCAAGCAGTTTGGTTCAAGAAAAAAAGAAACATGTTGGAAGAACAACCTGTAATATTCAATGAATCTTATATTGAATGGTTTGCCTTACTATATATTCAAGAGGAAATATCTGCATCTCTAGTTAAAATAATCTTATGGTTACAACATTAGCCTAGTTTTTGATGAACTCTCTTCTCCTATTCAGTGATCTTTTATTCATTGTCTTCCTATAAATAATATACCTAATTAAAGAGTAGAAAATTAAAATTTCTATATTTACAGAAAACAAAATTTGTATATGACTATATTTAAACAATTATTACTTTTTAATATGATAGGCTTTATGGACACTGTCAATATCTCTAAAATATTTTATTACTTACCAGTAAACATTTTTAAATCAATGCCCTCAGTTTCATTTTGTTTGGTTTTCAGACATGCTGCTCTTTAGTTCTCAACTAAATATTTTACACACATCCTTCTACATCACATATTTAGGAAATTCTACATTTTAGTTGTGTTTGTTTTTGTTAATTTTGGATGAAGATGAAACAGAAACACTTGTCAAAATTCGAGGTTATGTCAATATTATAATCCAAGTCAGTTTTCTAACCAATCGCAAGCCTGAAATTTTTGACCAATCGTAAGCCTGGCCACTATCTTTTTATGGTTGCCCGAGACCCAAGTACCCCAATGGGGGGTATGTACTATGATTTCGACTGAAAACATGTTGAAATCAATATGGCGACGTCGAAATGCGACTTTGCGAGCCTAGTGGATTTCAGCTGAACTAACCAAAGGACGTCACTAAATTTCGATTATCGAATTAATTTCAACTTCAAGAAAGTGGTTGAAATTTAATTTCGAGTCGAAATTAATCTGACATTACTAGGCGGGACTGGAGAAGCGAGGTTAGGTTCATTTAGGCGGTGTTGTTTTGTTTGATGGTCTAAATTTTAACACCTATAAAAATAGAACTGCGGTACCTGGGGGCCCCAAGCCAGATGCTACTGATTATTTTTTAAAATATACTGTGGTGTAAAAATTAAAGAAATAAAATGTCCCAATATTAAAACTACATTGGAAACCACAATTTTTGAATATATTCAACAGGCTGTAATGGAAGATAGAAATAATAAATAATTTGGTTGTAATAATTTATTTTAATTCTATACTCTTATTTGAGATATAAAATAATCTTTAAAACTCATCAAGAATTTTTAGAGCGGTAATGTATTATTTTTAGTAATACCAATATTAGGCTGCAGTAAATTTAAAAATATAATATAACCACTAAGTCAAAAGCCATATAATTTCTTTTTGGTCCACAGACAATTTAGTGCCACCATCACCAACTGCATCCATCCATTTTCTTTAAATTCAAAATATATTCATTGAGAATGGCCACTAAAAATTTAACAACTCAAACAAGAAACAAAAATCGTAAAATGTAAACAAAACAAACATTTAGATTTAACAAGCGGGCAGCCAATAAACAAGACGGCCAACCCAAATTCTGTGCAGTGTCAAAATGATAAAGTAAATGTCCCCACTTTTAACTAAAATCGAAATGAATGAGAATCGCTAGCGATTGCGACTGTCATGGCGTAGTCGCTTTTAAATTTCGACATCGAAATGAAATAGAATCAGGGCCCTGGTTAAAAACGTTAAAAAACAGAACATCTGTTGCAATCTGGCAACTAGTGTTGTCAAAGTTTTGACTTTTGACAGTATTGCCAAGTTTATTTGCTAATCTACCAAAGGTCAATTTTACATTTTTTTTTTCTATAACTAACTTAAACTAATATCAAAAGAAACAAATATTCGTACATTCGTGTTTTATATTAATTTAAAAAATACCCTATATCATAAGATAATATAATAATACATAATAAGGACATGGCAATACCGCAAACACAAATTTGACACATCATTTGTAGCTAACTGCCATAGATAAGAGGCATCGAGCAAAAAGATAAAAGAGGGAATCTAATCGTTATGAAAAGGAGACCAAAAAAGTGGCCTCTGATGGCGGACATATCCGGAAATGCAAAGGCGCTAAATTTAAATTTTCCAACACTTATTAACAATAGCTATAAAATATTTTTCAGACGAGAAAATTTTAATTAAATATTAACTATAAAAGTCTAAAAAGTGACACAATTGGTAAAAGATTTCAATATAAATAAAATTTCATGTGACAGTTGGGACAAACAATAACATAACCTAACTAAATTTGACTTCTTAAACAAGGAAAGAGACTGTCTATCCTTGTCTAAAGTGGCCTCTCAAGATGGCACTTCCTGTCTATCAATATGTTTACCCCCACTACCTTTACATTCCCTCTTTTGTCTTATTGCTCGATGGATATTACCATCGAGCAAAAAGACAAAAGAGGGAATGTAAAGGTAGTGGGGACAAAAATATTGTTAGACAGGAAGTGCCATCTTGAGAGGCCACTTTAAACAAGGAAAGACAGTCTCTTTCCTTGTTTAAGAAATCAAATTTAGTTGGGTTATGTTATTGTTTGTCCCATCGAGCAATAAGACAAAAGAGGAATCTAATCCTTATGAAAAAGGAGACCAAAAAAGTGGCCTCTGATGGCGGACATATCCGGAAATGCAAAGGCGCTAATTTAAATTTTCCAACACTTGTTAACAATACCTGTAAAAATATTTTTCAGACAAGAAAGTTTTAATTAAATATCAACGATAATAGTCTAAAAAGTGACATAATTGGTAAAAAACTTCAATATAAATAAAATTTCATGTGACAGTTGGGACAAACAATAACATAACCAAACTAAATTTGACTTCCTAAACAAGGAAATAGACTGTCTTTCCTTGTTTAAAGTGGCCTCTCAAGATAGCACTTCCTGTCTAACAATGTTTTTGTCCCCACTACCTTTACATTCCCTCTTTTATCTTTTTGCTCGATGTAACTAAGCTAACGCTAACTTCATACTTCATCGACACTTTCTATATACAATACTATACCTTCTTTTGCCAAATGCCAATTCGGCATAAAATAGTATAATACGTGTTAAGTAGATAAGTACATAATTTACTTTTAAAAAGCTTTCCCTTTTTATATTTGAAGCACACAATAGATGCATTATAAAAACATCCCAACACTGCCAAACCGAAATATTTGGTTGACATTTGTGCATCGAGCAAAAAGATAAAAGAGGGAATGTAAAGGTAGTGGGGACAAAAATATTGTTAGACAGGAAGTGCTATCTTGAGAGGCCACTTTAAACAAGGAAAGACAGTCTCTTTCCTTGTTTAAGAAGTCAAGTTTAGTTTGGTTATGTTATTGTTTGTCCCAACTGTCACATGAAATTTTATTTATATTGAAGTTTTTTACCAATTGTGTCACTTTTTAGACTATTATCGTTAATATTTAATTAAAACTTTCTTGTCTGAAAAATATTTTACAGCTATTGTTAACAAGTGTTGAAAATTTAAATTTAGCGCCTTTGCATTTCCGGATATGTCCGCCATCAGAGGCCACTTTTTTGGTCTCCTTTCTTTTCATAACGATTAGATTCCCTCTTTTATCTTTTTGCTCGATGCATTTGTGGCTATATTTAGCGTGATATTAACTAAAAACTTTTTGTTGAAATACTTAAAATCTGGTTCAATGAAATGGAAGTAAAACAAGAATTTAGTGAGGATACCTGTAAAGTAGAAATATGTTCTAATAAGGTGGATGAGGCACTTTTAGATAACTTTAAAAGTGAAATTAAACTGGACTACAATAGAGAAGGTACTCATGATTCATTATCATTTGATGATTTAGACATAAATGAATTCTCATTAAAGAGTGAAATAGAACTAGAAGATGAAAGTAAACTTACGCTATTTGAAGAAAAACAAACAAATAAAATGGGTAAGTTAATAACAAAAAATTTATTTACCAAAATAAAAGGTAGGAAAGAAATTAAAATAGTATTAAAATTCAATCCAGTTTTACTCTATGTACTGTCCATCACAACCTTTCATAGACATAGAGTAGTGGAACATTTTCTGGATTTTTTCTATTTTAGGAAAATTATAAATGAAATTGACTCATTCTTCTAAAATGACTTTATTTCGAGATTTTAACCCATTAAAACACAAATTAATGTTTTTTCAAATTTCAAAATTTTTACATAATTATCAATATTATTTTAATATAGGCTTTTAGATTTCAATTTGTTCAACCTGGATTTTATCCCTTATGCCCTTTTTGTGTACTTAAAATGTCATATTAGATAAAAAAAGGAAATTTAGAGTTGAACCAGGGTGCATTTTTCCTAAAATCAAAATTTTCGAGACTTTTCCAATGTACAATTTTTCATTTTCATGACCTGCCGTTATGCCTTTTTTTGCAGGTCTTTATTGTGAAGACTAAGAAACTTTTAATTGGCTTGATACTGATTTATTAACATTACATGTTTAGGTCAGAGCCAAATATTTTAAAAATAAAATCAATACTCCATATTGATCATTCATAGATTCATAAAATGGCATAAGGAAGAAAATCTTCTCAGCACATGCGATTTTCTTTACAAAAGAAAATTCAATTTTTGTAGGAAAATTCCATAGGAAACACACAGTTTTCACATATTTTACTCTCCTTGATTTCATCTCTCAGTACTCTGGTTTGAATATGGCTATACAAAAAGTCCAACAAGAGATTGTGCTGAATAGACAAACCATACTGACAAGTAAAATTGATAATGAACCCACTCAAAATCAGAGTGACATACTTTCTACTGCATCAGTCATAAGTTCTGCTGTTCTGAGTGCTACGCAGTCTCTCTTGAGTAATCCCAGGCCTAGTGAAGCTACCCATCATAATGCTCTCAGAAAATCTTCATATGCACTAGTTTGTGGAACTGGCGCCTGCTCAGACCAATTAAAAGGTGTGCCCAAATCAAATCATATTAAACAATCATGGTTTTATCTAGGTAGGGTGCAAAACTCTATTGGTGAGTCTGTTGTAAAAGATTACATAAAGAAAGCTGCCAATTTTGGTAATGAAAAAGACATTTATGTTAAACTGTTAAAATCTAATGAAAAATTTAACTCATTTAGATTTGGAATAGTAGTGATTTTTGGCCCCCAGATGTCCTTTTCAGGAAGTTTGTGTTTAACTACCATAGAAACCTTGGTGCTACCGAATTCCAGTAATTAGCCAACACATCAACTCATCAAACAACAGTTACCCTGCCAAAAAACTGAGAAGTAGCCTAAAATGTTACTGTCTTAACGTTGGCGGACTTCGAACTAAACTCTCTCAGTTAAGAAACTTTGCTAATAAATGATTATGATATTGTTATTTTGATTGAATCGTGACTATCTGAAAAGTTTCTGGTTAGTGAGACTGATATATTAAATTATAATGTTTATAGACAGGATGCCTAACAGCATGGATTGTACATTGTGGACAGAGGAGTGTACATTGCAATCAAGAAAAACCTATCCTCTAAACTAATATGTAAGTCAAATTTGTTTAACATAGAACAAATTTTTGCGGAAGTTAACCTGAATGATGATCAGCTTATAATAGGAGGAATCTATATACCACCTAGTTCATTAGCTGAGGCATATGAATATCACTGCACCTTTCTTGAGGAACTGATAAGTCAACATCCACAAAGTTCTGTGATCTTGGCTGGCGATTACAACCTGAGAGATGCTCAATGGGCTAATGATCAAAATGGGGTTTATTTATCTACCTTACTTCCTGATGGCTCTCATGCGAATACAGTTGTTAAGGTGTGGATATGGAAAATAAATAGTCGTACTTTACTACTATTATAAAAGGCTTTATTTCCTATAACATACATACTAATTAACTAACCTAACTTAAGCCACCATACTTCTTACTACCACCTACAACTACATGATACTCATTGACATTACTATTATTGTCTGTCATGTCAACCCATGACACTATGGGTGCGTTCCGCTTACTCTTACACCAATATATCTGTGTATACAATATAAATGTATTACATTCTCAACACGCCTCCTTACATTTACATTGTATTTACATTAATTCAAATTTAACATACTTCGAAATTTTTCAAATTTATCTTGGCCCAAGGACTTCGTAAAAATATCTGCAATATTATCATCAGAATCTACTTTAACCACATTTATAACATTTGCTTTAACATAATCATTTACATAATGATAATGAATTTCAACATGCTTAGAATTTTTTGTAAAATTGCCATAATTAGCTATACTAATTGTACCAGTGTTATCTTCATAAACATCAATTGGCTTTATTATTTCAATATCAAATATTTTCAACAATTCTTTTACAAATATCAATTCACTTACTGCTTCTGACAATGCTACATACTCTGCAAAAGTTGAAGCTTTTGTAACGCTTTTTTGTTTTCTAGATTTCCAATAAATTACATTACCAAACAATCTTATTACAAAACCAGTTGTAGACTTTCTATCTAAATGATCACCTGCCCAATCGGCATCCACATAACAATCAATAATACTTACTTTTTCATTTCTGTTATAAAACAATTTTAAATCTTTAGTTAAGCATAAATATTTCAAAATTCGTACAGCATATTTAAAGTGCGTTTCATTATAGCAATTTTGAAATCTACTCAGATAATTTACGCTGAAACTTATATCAGGCCTTGTTGCCGAACTTATGTATAATAGTGCACCAATTAAATTTTTATATTTAATATTTCTTTCACAATGATCAGATTTATCAATTTTTAAATTTACTTCCATAGGTGTATTATACAGTTTACCTTTTTCTAAATTATATTTTTTCCTTAATAATTCAATATATTTATTTTGATCCAATCTCATTTCATGTTTACTAGAATCATAATCAACAGTAATACCAAGATATTCTTTAATTTCACCAATATCTTTCATTTTAAATTTTTCTGATAATAAAATTTTAATCCTTTTAATTTCATTTAAATTTCTACCACAAATCAATAAATCATCGACATAAATTAATAAGTAAATAATATCATTTCCAATTTTATAAACGTACAAACAAGGATCAATATTACTTCTTTCAAAACCTAAATTTATCAAAAATGTATCTAGGCACTCATACCATGCCCTTGGACTTTCTTTTAAACCATATAAAGCTTTAACTAATTTACAAACTTTACTTGTTCCATCTTCATAACCCTTAGGTTGTTTAATATAAACTTCAGAAATTACTCTACCATTTAAAAAGGCTGTTTCAACATCCATTTGTTCAATTACTAGGCCCATTTGACAACAATATGACAATAAAATCTTTAATGTTTGCATTTTAGCCACAGGTGAATAAATATCATCAATTTCATCAGTTTGTTGAAAACCTCGTACAACCAATCTAGCTTTATAAGTATTATCAGACTTTTTAGTATAAACCATTTAACATCCAGAATATTTTTGTTTGTATCATTTTTAACCAATTTCCAAGTTTTACTTTTATTTAAACTATCAATTTCTTTGTCCATAGCTGTTTTCCAATACTTACTTTCATTAGAATTTATCGCCTCCTCAAATGTATGTGGTATATCAGTTCTACACATATTTACAAAAATACTACTATTATATACATAGTATCATCAAATTTCTTTGGAGGATTTTTGGCTCTGTGAGATCTAGGTAACTCAGGTTCATTTTTATTCACACTATCATCCATACTTTCATTTGTACTTTCAAAAGTTTCATCTATTGAGTCATTTTCAGAGCTTTCATCAATTTTATCAGGGTAACACTCTTCATTATTATCATTATCTGATTCGTTAAAGTCTAAACCTATACACTTAACGTTTTCTTCAACAATATCCACGTGTCTAGCAACAATGACTCTGCCATTTAATAATACACGATAACCAACATTACTATAACCAATTAAAATTCCCATATCAGCTTTCTTATCCCATTTAGAGATTCTCTTCTGTTCTGGTCTTCGTACAAAAACTTTACTTCCATACAAACGCAAATTAGAAACATCAGGTTTCTGTCCAAAAAATATTTCATATGGAGTTTTCTTTTCAATTGTATCAGATAAAGTACGATTTTTCAAATAAACCGCAGCACAAACTATTTCAGGCCATATTTTTTATGAATATCTGCTTCAGCCAACAAACATCTTGACATATCCATTATAGTTCGATTAAACCGTTCTGCAGTCCCATTCAATTCATGTACATATGTAGGACAATTATCAATTACTATACCCCTTTCTTTTGCAAATCTGTAGACTTTACTGTTCAAATATTCTTTCCCATTATCACATCTTAAAATCTTTATTTTCTTTCCAGTCAAATTTTCACTTTCATTCGTATATTCATTCAAACAATCACATACTTCTGCTTTTGATTTTATAGCATATACTTTAGAAATCTTACTATAATCATCAATGAAAGAAACAAAATAATTTTCACCTTTAAACCCAGTAGTTCGAAAAGGCCCACAAACATCAGTATGTACAATCTCTAAAATATCTTTAGCTTTTTTTCTACTGTTTACAAACGGAATATTATGCATTTTACTTTCAATACAAATCTTACATTTCATAAATTCAGATTCAAACTCATTAGGAATTCCATTCAACAGCTGATCTTTAGATAAAATATTCAAATATTTAAAATTTACATGACCTAATAAACGATGCCATTTTTCCTTTTGATTCATATTATTCATATCTTTATTTGCAACATTTACATGCAATTCAACTGATTTTAATTTACTTTTCATAATATATAAGCCATTATTTTTTAAAGCAACTGCTGTTATATTACCAAGTTTATCAAAAACTTTTGAAATATTACCTAGAGAAATAATCTTATTATTTTCTGTTATTTTGCTATAACTTATCAAATTTGATTTCATATCTTTAACATAGAA